TTGTGATATTTACACACAATTGCACGACTCACTTTTCACATATTTTTCTGCTTCCTCCAGCACTTCTCAGAGTTTATGCTAGAGTTTTCAAGAGTGCAACACAAAATTTTATCGGTAAAAATACGCTGCTCTATTACGTTCTACGACGTCATTTTTTTTTTGCCTTTTTCAATAAGGATAGTATGGTGGCATATTTCTGCCCCCTACATGCAAGATAAATTATGTTAACATGCAAGAAAAGTTTGTCAACATGCAAGATAATTATACGTCAACATGCAAAATAATTATGTTGACATGACAGTTACCATTTTTTTTTTTAGAATCTAATTTTAATGTTGGTAAAATTACTTGTTAACGCCAGTATACGACATCATACAAGCAAGCTGCAACAGAATTATGTTGACATGAGACTTATTAAGGTGTTTCGCTTCTGACGAATTTGAATACACCACGCAACTCGAACTGCCGGAAATTGGTCTGAATGTCGTTTTAATAAAGAATTCAATATGACAGAAAAATAATAGTTTTTTTTAAGTAATTATAATAATTATCCGTAGAAAGTAACATAATATTGATTTTTAAAGTAACTCATGTAGATATACAATATATTACATTGTTTGAAAGCACTACAACTAAGAATTGTATCATGGCCAATCAAAACGTCAATAATTGTTATGTTCCAAATTTTCAAGCATGACTTTTCATTACACCAATAAAAAATATACTTTTTGTCAGGTGACCGCATGGATATTCTCTCCTTTCCTCCAGTATTTTTTAATTCGCACATTTTATGTGTGTGTTCATGAGAAAGGACGTCGGATTGCAGCTCTCCAACTTAATATAAAAACGGATTGTTAATGAAATTCATAAGAAACCTTTGGATATCAAGGATGAAAAATTCGAAGTTGATCTATGGATGCAGTACAGCTGAACTTTATTCTAGTTGAGCAAAGAATACAGCAAAGATGGTACCGTATATCATGTTAAAAGGTTCTATTACAATAGGTGTGATAGATATTTATTTGTGGAATTCATGTCAAGAACTTGATTTCTCGATGCGGTGGATCGAATATTTGCAGAGTTCCGTAAAAACATTTCGAAATTTGTCTCGGTATATAACAAAGCCCGTTTCATTCTGTAATTCAGATTCAGTATACATGTTGAAAATGTTGAAATCGCCTTGGTGTTCAATAATTTATTTACACGGCACAGTTTTGCTGGCTCCGCCCATCGGTGTATCTCCAGTTATTGTACACTTGACTTCAAAGGAAAAACACCACAGCCATGATACAATAAAGAATTACAGAATTAAATGGGCTTGTATACAAAGACAAATTTCTGCCAGTGAAATAAAGGTCTTTCACATAAATTACAGTGCATATGTATCCCAAAATACGAAATGTTTTTTACGGAACTCTGCAAATATTCGATCCACCGCATCGAGAAACCAAGTTCTTGACATGAATTCCACAAATGAATATCTTAAAATATCACACCTATTGTAATAGAGCCTTTTAGCAGGATTTACGATCTTGCTGTATTCTTTGCTCAACTAGAATAAAGTTCAGCTGCACTGCATCCTTAGATGAAGAGTTGTTAACAAAGCGTTTTGTTCATGCCACAGCTCTCGAGTGTGTCAAATGATAACGGGTATCTTTTTTTTTAACATCATAATTTTCCATCCTTGACATCAAAAGGTTTTCTTATGAATTTCTTTAACAATCCGTTTTTATGTTAAGTTGGAGAGCTGCAATCCGACGTTCTTTCTCATGAACACACACATAAAATGTGCGAATTAAAAAATACTGGTGGGAAGGAGAGATTATCCGTGCGGTCACCTGACAAAAAGTATATTTTTTATAGGTGTAATTAAAATCATGCTTAAAAATTTGGGACATAACAATTATTGACGTTTTGAGGATGATACAAGAAAGTTATTGAATATTTATTATGGTGTATCCTGATTTATTTGGACGAAGGGGCGGAGACTCGTGCTTCGCACTCGTCACCGCCCTTCGTCCAAATAAATCAGGATACACCATAATAAATATACAATAACTATTACATAATTAACTAGAAAAAAATTATCTTTTTAATTATTTCTAATTCATTTTCCAAGCTTATTTTACAACCCCCCAAAAGGAAAAATAAGCTAATTTTTGCACAGGGGTGTGTGCATTTTTTTTTAAGAATTAATTTTATCTTCGGTTGATTACCATCATTATTTCATCAATATTTATTTTCCTTATGACTACTTTTAAAAGATAACAAAAAGTCAAAATGATTTGAAAATATTTTTTAGGTTAAAGGGAATATTAAATATGTTGGACGCATTTTTGTCTTTTTCTTTACTAAAATGAGATATTTACCTCCCTTTGGCATGAACGCCTATAGCTTGAAAACCAAATCATATACATATGGATTTTTTTGGCTTAAAATAATTAATTATGTTTATTCTTACAATTAAAAAAGAAAAATTAAATTTTTAATTATTTTTATTGTCAGAAGCCAAACACCTTAAGTTAACATGCAAGATAATTATGTTAACATGCAAGATATTTATGTCAACATGCGACTTATTTATGCTTACATGCAACATAATTATGTTAACATGCAACTTATTTATGTTAACATGCGACTTATTTATGTCAACATGCAACTTATTTATGTCAACATGCAAGATAATAAGTTGCATGTTAACATACATATCTCACATGTTGACATAATTAACTCACATGTTGACATAATTATCTTGCATGCTGACATAAATAAGTTGCATGTCTACATGATTATCTTACATGTTTACATAAAAGAGTTTCATGTCTACATAATTATATTGCATGTTGGCATAAATAAGTCGCATGTCTAAATAATTATCTAGCATGTTAACATAAAAAAGTCGCATGTCAACATAATCCTGTTGAACCTTGCTTGTATGATGTCATATAATGGCGTTAGTAAGTTTACCAATACTGAAATTAGATTCTCTAAAGAGATTGGTAACTTGCATGTCAACATAATTATGTTGCATGTTAACATATATAAGTCGCATGTCAGCATCATTATGTTGCATGTTAACATTATTTATCTTGCATGCAGGGGGCAGAAAAATGCCACCATAGGATACCTATCTTATGAAATTGATTTTTTTTTTCATCGGAGCAATATGTAAAGTCACAAATTATCCTCACAACGTCAGGGATCCTGAGTCAATTTTAACACGTTACAACGGCAGCGTGTTGACTCAGGATCCCTGACATTGTGAGGATGGTCACAATTATGCATATGAAATAGTTCAAATTACTATGAACGGCTAGATTCTATCGTTTTTGTTTCATTTCACAGAGATAATAACACAGACCTTATCAAGTGCATTGTTTATGAATTACCAAATTTTGCCCTGGTCCACGGGTGATCCCATTTTTGCAGTTCTAGATTTTAAATAAGTTCGAAATATATCATGAGATATTTCAATTTTTAAATTCAAACCATTTAATTTTATTGTTAAAACAATACCAATGGCAAATATGAATATAATTTGACGTTAAGTGAAAAAAAAGTGATGACAGAAGTCCGCGAAATTTCCGAACAACCCTCGTTTTGGGCATTTTACTTCTCCTCCCTCTCCATACAAACACACTACAAGTGAAATATAAATTTATTTATCATATATACATTTTTGTAACAATAAGGGGAGGCCCAGGCCCCTTTCAATCCGCCAGTGTTTATATCATATGTTTGACATAATTTTTATGCCCCCGTAATCGAAGATTCGGGGGTATATAGTTTTTGGCCTGTCCGTTCGTCTTTCTGTCTGTCTGTCTGTCTAGCTGTCTGTTTGTCCCCCAAAACTTTAACCTCGCCCATAACTTTTGATTGGTTAGAGCTATGGCTTTCATATTTCATATGTGTATTTTTTGTGACAAGACCTTTCTTTGGGTACTATCATATTTGACCTTTTGGCCTTGACCTTGGAGTTTGACCCACTTTTGCAAAATTTTATGAGATTTTAAACTTGGCCATAACTTTTGAAAAGTTGGAGCTTGGGCCTTCAAACTTTACATGTTTATTTGTTATGACAAGGCCTTTCTTAGTATACCAACATCTTTGACCCTTTGACCTTGACCTTGGAGTTTGACCTACTGTTGAAAAAACTTTCACCTTGGCCATAACTTTTGGACACTTTGTGTTAGGTCTTTCATTCTTCGCATGTGTACTCCTTGTGACAAGACCTTTCTTTGGATACCTTTGACCTTGGAGTTTGACCTACTTCAATTTTGAAAAATTTTAACCTTGGCCATAACTTTTGAACAGTTAGTGCTAGGGTTTTCATACTTCACATATGCATTCCTTGTGAGAAGAACTTCCTTTAGATTCCAACAACTTTGACCATTTGACCTTGACCTTGGAGTTTGACCTACTTTTGAAAAACTTTAACCTTGGTCACAACTTCTGAACAGTTGGTGTTAGGGATTTCATACTTCATATATATATTCCTTGTGACAAGACCTTCCTTTTGGATACCAACAATTTTGACCTTGACCTTGGAGTTTGACCTATTTTGACCTATTTTTAAAAAAAAATTAAGCCTTTTCCACAACATTTAAACGTTTGGTTCTAGGGCTTTCACATTTCACGATCATGTGTATCACTTGTGATAAGACCTTCCCTTGGGCACCATTTGACCTTGACCTTGCCATTTTACTTACTTTGAAAAAACTTTAACCTTCGCCATAACTTTTCAACGGTTTGTACTAGGGTTTTCATATTTCACAGGTATATTCCTCGAGACAAGACCTTTCTTTAGGTACCAACTTTTTTGATTTCTTGACCTAGAGTTTGACTTGCATTTAAGAAATTATAACCTTCGCCATAAGCTGCCATGCGGGGGCTTCAGTTTTTCACAAACACATCTTATTTGTGTTAAATCATGTTTTGCATCGGGATCGGAGTGCAATTTATTCGAAACACTGCGAAAGTACACGAGGTCGCCTGGTCGGTGTTGAGACAGTGTAGTTTGTTTTTGAGTAAAAAGTCTACATTTTTGAGTGAAAATGGTCAAAGTAAAGGTAGAAGACACAGCTGATAAACCTATACCAAAAGTAAAAACGGTGAGTGATCTATTTTCGCGATAATATTGATAAAGAATTGAAATCTTGAATCCAGTCATGTAGTGATGCTGTCATTAGCCCCTTCACGATAATTAATAACATTTGGCGAAGTTTTTGTTGACAGATAATCAAATGACGTATATTAAACAATTGCTTTTACGTCATATTTCACCAAAACAAATCATTTTGCCCTGCAAAAGAGCAGTGCCGCAGTTATCGTGAAACAGTCTATTATGAAACATAAACGGCGTTTTGTGGTCCTACTAAACAGAGAACCCTAGAGAACTCTAGAGAACCCTAGAGAACTCGAGGTTTATTTGATGAATTCAAATAAATTTTATAGATATTTGACATGATTTGTGTATGTGTGAAATGAAAATCGAAAGATATGATATGTTGAATTCGGAAGGAAGAGCAGTATCCATCTGGATTATTAAGCAATCTGTGTAGATACTACCCAGTAATAGGTTGAGGCCACATGCTCTTGTTTCATACAGAATATTATGCTAGTTTACCAGGTCCAGTACAATCAATACATTTAGCTACGTAGCTAAAATTACCTACCGTAGCTTTATTTACCTACCTCAGGTAGCTTTATTTAGCTATTTCAAGGCAACTTTTCACAATTTTGCTTTTTATTTTAAAAAGACAAAAAGTCGCAAGTAAATGTCTACTAATATTTTTTCTAGGTATTATTTAAAAAGCAATCTAAAGCAGAGATAGTTTTAACATTGATTTGTTTGAACACTTTTAAGGAAAATATGTATTTCCATTGTTTGAGTAACTGTACACCACCTTGTGTGCAATGAGGCGAAGGTAAGTATGATTTCTTCACATTGTGCTCATGTTAACCAAAACTGGTTTTCTTTGTTATTTCACTCAAGAAGTAACTGTTAGGTCACAAGTTAACGGTTGTATATAGCCCGAAAACTTTTAGAACTTTGATTGCAATTGCGCAGAAAAAGACACATCTCCAAGAGTGATTTTTTCATGAATTGTTTTCAGATGAGTTCAAAGTTGAAAATTATCACTGCATCAAAGTGCAATTTTCTGCACTTTCTAGGAGAAATGCTAATTTAAGAAATAAGTTTGATTTAGTAGCTAAATGAAGCTACTTCAGGTAGGTAAATAAAGCTATGTAGGTAATTCCAGCTACGTAGCTAAATCTAGTAATTGTACCAGACCTGTTTACTACTATACAATAACACAAGGTTTCCATCTTTACGAGACAAGCAATAGGTAACCAATTAAAATTTTTTGTTTTTATTTATTTCCTGCAGCTAGCCACTAAATGGATACCAGAAACCCCCTTTTGACCCCATATCTACATATTACTTCACCCCCTGGTGAACACTGACACTGACTTTAAAATGACATGCTTCATCGCCTAACTAATAATATATAAGGAGGCTTGATTTTTCTTGAAATTATGTGATTTCTCCATAAATTCCATCTGTATGTCATTCTGTGCAATATGGTTTGTACTTTTGTTAAGGTTTAAAAAATTGTCCGTATATGGTATAATAAAAATACACAAGGTAAGAAACAAAGATTTGATTTCCAAGGTACTAAAGTGTTATCTATAATATTTTTGCAACCACTTTGTCGGAGAGATGTTCTCCTACTAGTCTCTTTAACCTAAACCACATCTTTTGTGTTTAATATGCTGTAATTAGACAATGTGTTAAACAGACTCTAAAATTTTCTCCATTGACAGCCTTGGAGGAGATTTTGGCATTATCACTTTGTTTCACTTCCACTGATTGGTTGACAGAATACAGTTTAAATAAATATTTGGACTAATCAGATGAAGCAAAACAGATCGGCGTACATCAGACCTCCTCCAAGGCTGTCAGTGGAGAAAATTTTATGTGTCCTTTTTCGAGAAAATAAGACTCCTTATATTTTATTTCTTAGGGGGGGGGGGGGGGGGGGGGGGTAATATCAAATTATATTATTAAACAAATATCGTAAATTCAGTGATAGTTTAGACTTAGTTTTGATTATGGTGACAAAGCAGAATGAACTTATGTGACACAGCTAGCAAAAGGAGAGAGTTGCATACCAAATGATAGAAAAAAAAGTCCCCATCCCTCTTCCCCTCAAAAAAAAGAATTTTTCTTTGAAAATTATGCAAAGGATTTATCGTTGACAACTATTACTGTAGTAATATATAAGAAAAGAGGGGAAGAGATTGCTCAAAAGAAAAAAGTGGTTGAATGTTTGAATTTTGATAGGAATTGATACTTTAGATTTCATTTCTTTCATTTATTTAGATATATTTACATTTGCAAATGTTTTCTTTTGTGTAACACTATTAAAAGCAATGCGTATCTATATCCGTATAAACACGGGTTCCTCACGTCATAAACGTTTGACGTAATTTCTCAGTGACGTCATAAAGGGTCGACGCGCAATCAATGGATCAAACACGTACCGTTAAGTTTGAAAAATAAAACATTTCACGCCTTAAAGATTATAATCAGGCAAGTATAAAATATAAATAAGTCACAAATGTAAATATAAGTAATAGGATATCATTTTAAAACATCTATCGGGATATAAATACGGGTTGGTACGAGAAAAAATTTACCATAAAGCCCTTCGGGATTTATGGAATTTGATCTCGTGACCAACCTGTATTTATATCCCGATAAATGTTTAAAAATGATACCTTATTTCTTAAATAGTTTATGAAGATGAGTACAATAGAATATTTGTTACATAGGTTAAAGGAAAAAGTACAAAAGAGAAGAAGAAGAAAGAGAAGGAGTCAAAGGTAATTAGCTTATATGTAAAATATTTATTTGTAGTGTTACAAGTTAGACTTAAACTACTCACTTTACACTTTGTTTTCTGAATATCTGTGAAATTAATGCAGACATGTCTGCTGTTAGACCTCCAATTGCTAAAATAGACAGCATGCCATCTTTCTGAGAAATATAGTTTTCATCCAGTTGTTTAAGAAATGTTCAAATGGTTGTACAAAAATTTTTCAACAACATATTCAGTCCATTAGCTAATACATTAACAGTATTTTTCGCCCATTCACTGTCATTTTAGCTCACCTGAGTTTTTCTGATCAAAGGGAGTACAGCATCCGTGTGTCATCTGTAAACTTTTCACATTTTCATCACCAAACTTGCCACAAAGCATCCTTGGGTGAAGGGGATTTAAGTTTGTTCAAATGAAAGGCATTACAATGTATTACAATGTTGTAAGATTTCACTGTAAAATGTAAACATGTATTACATTGTTGCAAGATTCCACTGTAAAATGTTAACATGTATTACATTGTTGTAAGATTCCACTGCAACCAGTAAACATGTATTACATTGTTGTAAGATTCCACTGTAACCAGAAAATACTGTTTGTGCATGTACTTAAAAAAGTGGGGTTCATATTTTAGCGGCTGTAGCGCAGACAACGATGCACTATTTCATGAATACCACTAAATACAATATACGGCACAGACATGTATAGCGCTAATTCATGATTTCGCCAACAACTCCATACCCAGTGATTGCGCTAAATTTTTAATACGCCAATTTATGTACGCGTACAGTATGTATTACATTGTTTTAAGATTCCAGTGTAACCAGTAAACATGTATGACATTGTTGTAAGAATCCACTGTAACCTGTAAACATGTATTACAGGATGAAGGAAAAAAGAAAAAATGTCAGAAAGATTCACAAGTAGCAGAAAATGGAACTGAAGAGATAGCCACAGTGAGCAAAGAGAAAAAGAAATCAAAAAAAGAAAAGAAATCAACAGACAAGACAGAGGGGAGTCCACCCAAGCAAAAGGACAGTGCTGTGAAAGAGAAAAAGAAAAGATCAAAAAAAGACGAGAAATCAACAGTAGAAAATGGACATGATGCAAGTGTGGATAATATTAAATCGGAACCGATAGACACTAACTATGGAACTAATGGTGATACTGAAAGGGTTCTGGATGAAGTTAAAGTAAAGACAGAGAAAACAGAGGGAGAAATTCTAGGGGATTTCTCAAACTTCAGGATAAAAGATGCCACAGTCGAAAAACTTCGGAGTAAGTTTATTTATGTAATGTTATGGCATGAAATTAAAGAAAGCTTGGAAGGTCATGCATGTATTTTAAAATCATTGATTTGAAAAAAAAAAATCGTAGCTGGTTTCAATGTTTAACATTTCCTGAGAGAATGTATATTTGTATTACAAATTTGTAAATTTTTTTTTCCAGAACAAAATATAAATTATTTGTTTCCCATACAGTACAAAACATTTAATCACATATATGATGGGGAAGATGTGATTGGTCAAGCACGTAAGTCAGTGTTTCTTGCAGTTATACACATGTATATTTATTTTACATTCTCAGAGTAAAAATGGCATGATGTATTAAATTGCATGAAAAGAAATGCATTTCATAGTTCCTTTGATTAAAAATATTAAGATATCTGTATGAAATTTTTTATTTGAAATTTGGGATGTAAATTATTTGCTTTAACTTTTTTGGGACACTGAAATGAAGTAAGAAAGATTTTATTTGCAATCATTGCAGGTACTGGCACGGGAAAAACAGTGAGTAGAAATTAATATTAAAGATAAAATGATAATAATGGTTATCATAAGAGGTCAACTTCTTAATTTGGAGGAGAATCTTTTTTTAAAAATATTCATGAAATAATGAAATTAATATTTTTTTGTATTTTTAACATTCGTACATTTATAGTTAATTCTATTTGTTTTCTAAATTAGGTATTAGTTTTAACTAGAAACTGTATTAAGAATATTATTATTCATATATCAAGTCTTGATATGCTACAAATGTATTTATTTCTAAGGAAATGTAAAAGTTAACTTGATCGTTTTATCATTATTTTACTGAGGTGGGTGTATTTGTAAGGTCTATCTGTATCTCCCTTCCAGCTTTCCTTTGCACTACCTCTTGTAGAAGTGTTACAGAAGAAGAGAACACAAAGAATACGTAACTGTCCAAAGGCAGGTTTTCATCATTTTATTTCATATCACAGACTCTGTGATCAAAATGTTGATGTTGTACTAACAAGTTGTCCATTATCTAGGTCATTGTCATGGTACCCACCAGGGAACTTGCCAAACAGGTCTCTGATGTGTTTGAATCAATTGGTGAGGGGCTGAATGTTGCATGCTTCTATGGTGGAACGCCATATGAGAAACAAAGTGAGTGCACACAGACATGGTAGAAGTGGTTTGTTTATTGTATGTATTACAATCAGATGAAAAGCCTCTTGTTTATATGTATTCTAATCAGATGAAGACTCTTGCATAGAATACCTACTCTTTAGAGAATAAGTGATACATTTTTACTGTCTAAAAGTCAAAGAGCTCAGACATTGAGTTTGTCCATATTTAGTGATAGTTGGAAACCGTCAATGGTTATCAAACAGAATTATGTATTTTGTATAGAGAATTGTTACTTTTGTCTGAATTAAATTAGAATTGTTATCTTATATTATCAGTGAGAGCCATCAGCTCAGGAATAGATGTCCTTGTGGGGACACCTGGTCGTATCAAGGATCATATAGAGAAGGGAAATCTAGACTTCAGCAGGGTACGACACGTGGTTCTGGACGAGGTGGACAGAATGCTGGACATGGGCTTTGCTGAGGATGTAGAGACCATTATATCATCTGCTTATAAAACTGGTTAGTTAGGTGAAAACAACTCTCCAAAGTTTGACTAGGATCTTAATTGCAGATGAGCATATTAATATTGATATCAAACACTTCATGGATAGGATAAGGCTGTCTGTAATATACTGTAGATCACTATATTTTTGTGACACCTTGTTTTCGCGAGATACCTTTTTGATATTTTTTAATGAGACAAAATTTTCATGAGCTGTGGTTTTCGTTGTATATAATCCTTAATAATACAAATATATGCGAGAATAAATTTTTCCTGAGCAGACAGAATCGCGTAATTACACAAAAATAAAGTTCTCGCAAATAAAAAGTGATGTTCAGTATTGTTGTGCACTATACTAGCTGTTGTAATGTCTTTGAACTACAGTCAAACCTCGTTATCTCAAATTCAATGGGACCGAGAAAAAACATCGAGATATCCAAGGGTTGGAGATATCAAGGGTAAAATACTTATGAAATATGTGGTAAGGACTTCCCAGTCGCTTTGACATATCCATGGTATTCGAGATATCTGTGTTCAAGATACCGAAGTTCAACCGTACCTAGATATGAAGTCCTTAATAGCATACAACATTGATGTTGAATTCAGTTGTCTGGATTGTTGTTTTAAGCTTCAGTGTGCTGCTATGATGATGAATATTTGCAATAATATTGTGATGCCTTTCTCTTACCAGATATGCAGCTTATTCAAACAATAACACAAAAAGTAGAGTGTAAAACCATCCTGTTACATGTTAAAGAATTGAGTTAAAATTGATAAATCGTGTATATATTAGACTGGTGCAAGTGTTTGATAAGGATGAAGTGAAGATATTCTGTGTGAATCTATAAGTATGTTCTCTAACTGAATCTTGCAGGGGGATTTGGTGTTTTATACCTGATTTTGTATTAATTGTGATTTAGAGTGGCAAATACCCTCATATGTGTGGGCCAGATGTAGGGATGTTAATTTCACTCAGCTTAGTTGAATAATGGGGAGCTTTAGTCAAGCAAAAGTCAAGGACATGTACTTGATAAAATAATTATTTTTGACTTGCTGTCCTTTTCAGATGGCTTTTACACTCGATATTTATATCATTTTACTTTCATATACAACATATTCCTAAGTACAAGTATTTACCACCTCTACTACACATATCTGAATTTAAATTGTCTTCTTATCGAATATTTTATCAAAAAATAACTTATCAAATACAATGGCTTAGAATTTCTTCTCAATGTGCTAATGCATTATTATAATACCTGAAAAAACTCCCTTTGCAAATTGCCTTTAAAAATATGCATAATTAACAAATTGAGATCAAAACCTAGCTGGAAACAAAATAGTATGTTAAAGTGTATTTAGAGCCTTCTGACAGGCTTAACATAGCTGCATCTCTTGTGTTATTAATATTTTGAGAATTATAATTTTTAGGGATGTCAAAATATTTATTTTCCTTAGTTGTTTCTTCGATTCCATTATTCGAACGATAGTCGATTATTTGGAACATTTTCTGAAAATAAAATTTTATTTCAAACTTCACTGGTACATGACATATTTATAACTCAAAAACCCTTTTACTTAAATATGTTTAAAAAGTAACATAAGAATTGATTAATGCAACGTAACGTTTGATAGCATGATTATATGAAATAAATTTAGAAATCTAATTCTCCAAAATTTATGATTTCCCCATCAATTGAAATCATAAATTGGTCTGTACATGCAGAGTGAGCAATCAAAAATTGCTAGCCGATATTTTTTAAAGCTTATTACGAAATAAATTGGGGGGGGGGGGGGGTAATTTCACACTATCCAAATGCCAAGTGTTTGTTAAATTGTTAAACAGTTAGTAACTGCTTATTCATTAATTGATTGCTCTGGCTATCAGAATGCCCTTAATTATAAACAGTTTAAAAATGCAAGCGAATTGTTTTAATAATTATCAAAGCATCAAAACATGTCACAGCTATGGTTTGTTCCTTGCATTTGAGCAATCTCAAAATAAAAGATAATTGGTACATTGTATAAAATCAAGTCCAATTAATTATTTTACAAACAAAGCCTAGTATATATATTGATGGTTGATTTATTACAAAAACAACACAAGCAGTAACTGATAGATAATTCTCGCGGTAGTGAAGCATTTATAATTACTGTACTTTCTATACACACACGGAAAATCAAGTTTTTTGTAGAGGAAAATTATCTTATCAACTGTCTCCGAGGAAAGACGGTTTCTCAATTTTGTAATGAGAATTCCATATCATTATCACTCTTTTTAAAATTGGATTTTTAAAATTATAATATTCGAATGTCGTTTCATTATTCGATCGTCGGTCCATTCAACTGACAGTTGAATAGTCGACTATTCGTTGACATCCCTAATAATTTTATGAGAATTTTATAGATTGTAATGTAACAACAGTTTGTGTTATTTGATCAGTAGATGTGTAAATGGATTATTTGTTGTGATTGGTTATTTGGATATGTTTTATTTCAGAGAATGAGGAGAGGCCTCAGACTTTGTTATTTTCTGCTACACTTCCCCCCTGGGCTCATGAAACGGCCAGGAAATACATGAGACAGGATAAGCTGGCAAAAATCTCTCTTATTAACAACCAAGAGAACAGGACCTCCACAACAGTACAGGTACTTATCACAGACCTCCACAACAGTACAGGTACTTATCACAGACATCCACTACAGTACAGGTATTTATCACAGACATCTACAAGAGTACAAGTACTTATCACAGACATCAACAAGAGTACAGGTACTTATCACAGACATCCACTACAGTACAGGTACTTATCACAAACCTCCACAACAGTACAGGTACTTATCACAGACCTCCACTTATCACAGACCTCCATAACAGTACAGGTACTTATCACAGACCTCCACTACAGTAAAGGTACTTATCACAGACATCCACAACAGTATAGGTACTTATCACAGACCTCAAAAACAGTACAGGTATTTATCACAGACCTCCACAACAGTACAGGTACTTAGCACAGACATCCACAACAGTACAAATACTTATCAGAGACATCCACAACAGAACAGGTACTTACACAGACCTCCACAACAGTATAGGTACTTATCAGAGACATCCACAACAGAACAGGTACTTATCAGAGACATCCACAACAGTACAGGTACTTATCACAAACCTCCACAACAGTACAGGTACTTTTCAGAGACATCCACAACAGTACAGGTACTTATCAGAGACATCCACAACAGTACAGGTACTTATCACAGACATCCACAACAGTACAGGTACTTATCCAGGACATCCACAACAGTATAGGTACTTACCACAGACCACAAAAACAGTACACATATTTATCACAGACCTCCACAACAGTACAGGTACTTATCACAGACATCCACAACAGTACAAGTACTTATCAGAGACATCCACAACAGAACAGGTACTTACACAGACCTTCACAACAGTATAGGTACTTATCAGAGACATCCACAACAGTACAGGTACTTATCAGAGACATCCACAACAGTACAGGTTCTTACACAGACCTCCACAACAGTATAGGTACTTATCATAGACATCCACAACAGTACAGGTACTTATCACAGACCTCCACAACAGTACAGGTACTTTTCAGAGACATCCACAACAGTACAGGTACTTATCACAGACATCCACTACAGTACAGGTACTTATCACAGACATCCACAACAGTACAGGTACTTATCCCAGACATCCACTACAGTACAGGTACTTATCACAGACATTCACAACAGTCTAGGTACTTATCACAGACATCAACAAGAGTACAGGTACTCATCACAGACATCCACTACAGTACAGGTGCTTATACAGACATCCACTACAGTACAGGTACTTATCACAAGTAACATTATGTGTGAAATTTTTAGGATTATGATGTTATGAATATATGAAATTACTGTTTTGATTCCTTTTTTGTATATTCCTTTAAGTTTAAATATTTACATCTACTGAATATTATCTCTTTTATTTCTTAAGAAAACCACGGTCATTTATTGATACTTTAATGTTGCTAAGCAAGCCAACTGTGTAGATTTCTTGAGCAGTAGCTCCTCCATCTATGAAACATACAATGAGGTACATATCAATATTACAATATTTAACATACTTATTCCTAGTTTACATGATTATTAATGCAGACATAAATATAAACAATAAAATGTCTTTGTCTGTTAGTATGGGAATCAACGTTGCAGCTATTACAGAAAAAATTTACATAATCTGCGTACACGGGTTAAGTATTTTTTCTGTAACAGCAGCAACATTAATTCCCATACTAACAACCAAAGAAAGCATTTTATTATTTAAGTAATATCTGAAACACCAATAAAATGACTCTCAGGCCCTCATTTCAATCCAACTAGACAATTTTTCAAAGTGAATTACATTATTCTTTTCAGCATTTAGCAATCCGTAGCAGTTTTTGGGACCGTCCCTCTGTGATTGGAGATGTTCTTCAGGTGTACAGTGGTAAGAATGGTCGCGCCATTATATTTAACGAGACCAAGAAAGAGGCTGATAGCTTATCATGCAGCGAATACATCAAACAAGATGCTCATGTTCTGCATGGCGACATTCCACAAGAGAAAAGGGAGACTGTTCTCAAAGTATGTGCTAAGTTTTTTTCATAATAAAGATATCTATTTCCAAGATAAATGATAAATTCTCACTGTTTTAAAAGTTTCTATAGTAAAATTAAATCATAAAACAAAAAATTCAAATGCTCAAAATGCAAAACAACTTTGCAATAAATTCTGATTTATGACAGGGTTTTCGGGATGGAAAGTTCAATGTCCTGTTGACTACAGATGTTGCTGCGCGAGGACTGGATATTCCCGAGGTAGATCTTGTCATCCAGTGTAATCCTCCAGAGGATGTGGACTCATACATTCATCGCTCAGGACGAACGGGTCGTGCTGGCAAAAATGGAGTCTGTATTTGTTTTTATAAACCAGAAGAGGAAATGAAACTGGCTAATGTTGAATATAGAGCGGTTAGTGTTTTACTAGACATTTAGTGAGTAAAAATTTTGATCTAGAATGATTTAAATTTAGTGACCTCTTGTGAAAAATAAATTATAACATCAGAATTTGTGTATAAGGTTTTTTGAGCTTTTTGTCTGAATTATTGGACAAAGATGGCCATTCAACACATTTACAGAAATTGACCATCACCTTTATTAGAGATAATTAACCTACTTTTGTTATAAATCATTCAAAGGGGTAATCTTCAGTACCAACAATTAACCTACTTTTGTTATAAATCATTCAAAGGGGTAATCTTCAGTACCAACAATTTATTAAAATTTCGAAAATTTGAGTCACTATTAAGTTTTAAATACAGTGTATTTTTTTTGCTTAGGTTGAAAATGTATTCAATAATTATATGTTAATTATTGTAGAATTTTTATACTGTATAAATTTTATAATTTAAATTTATATAGAAAATCAAGTTCAAAAGAGTTGCTGGACCAACAAAAGAGGAGATAATTCGGGCCTCAGTAGAGGATGCAGTAAGGTGAGTCTCGTAGGTTCAGCTTTAAAAGGAAAACCTGTCACTAAATACTGAAACAAAGGTTATATTTTAACCACTTATAAAGTGTATGTAAATAGTTCATGGAGTGAGATGAAGATGTTATTTCATTGTGTCTAAGTTCAGATTTTGATTTTAGATTTTTTTTAAAAACTGTAAATATAGTCATTACACCCAGGGTTTTATGTTCACAAGGTAATTAACTCCTGAACATTTAAAGAATTGATTTTTTTAAAGGGATGAAACTGTTCACCATGGTATCAATTCACCAAAGTATTTTTTCTCGGTCTGATACATGGTGCAAAATCTCCATTTTCAGTTGGTTTCATTTTTCAGTCGAGACTTATTCAGTGAGGTTTGGCATAGGTAAAAACATGCTACTCAGCATAAATAATTTTTAAAAACTTAAATCTTTGAGGACTGATTGTTTGTTAAGTAATCTTTAACAGTCGGTTCATTCTTAGACTAATCAATTTCTCCTAGTCAATTTGCACATAGATTAAGTAACTGGATTTAGTGAAGCAAAACATAAAAAAAAGTTGAATTTGTTTCCTTCTTATTTTTATATTATATGATACGTATCATATCGTAAAGGAGGTGTATCGTTTCACCCTAATTTTTTTTTTTTTTTGCATGTAAAACTACATTAATTAAGACATAGTATCTTAAAAAGAGAGTTCAAGTAAGAATATTTTTCACTATTTGAGTAGAATGGAAAGACAATTGGGTATTAAGGAGGGGTGTTTCTCTCGCATGGTATTTATTACTTTAAATATTTTTTTAAAAAATCCAACTTTTTTTGGTTGTCTGTAGTCATCAATAGGAATCTGAAACTGTCAGGAAAGGTTTCTACCTGTAAACTTGGAATAATAAAACCAAATGTCACAAGAAAAAGTGGAGAAAAAGTTTTACTCTTTTGCCATCCATATTCCTTTCATAAACGGATGACTCATTTGAAGGCATTGGTTACTTTGTGGTGGACTTCTTTTCAATATTATGTTGCATTCCTAATCAGTATTTAAAATTATGACTAAAGATTAAAAATGATGAATCAGTATGAAACAGATCACACATTCCTGTTATTACACATTCCTTGAGTCAATGTAAGATGGTCCTTCTGAGCTATGTTTTTCTGTTCCTTCAGATCTATAGAAGGTGTACCATCAGAGACACTGGATTACTTCAGATCCTCTGCAAAAGAACTGATTACAGAGAGAGGTGCAGAGGATGCCCTCGCTGCAGCCCTAGCCTTAATATCTGGATCAACAAAAATCACCTCCCGTTCTATGTTATCATCTAAAGAGGTGAGTTGTCCACTTCAGTAACTGAAAGATCAACAAAAATCACCTCCGGATGTGTTTCATCTAAAGAGGTGAGTCGTCCACTTCAGTAGCTGAACCTTAAAAGTCAACTCCAGAAATTGGTCCCCAAGCACTGTGATCACATTAAAAACGATGGGCACTTGGACGTATTGAAAGTCCATCAGAGTGGATCTATTTCCTTTATCATTAACAGATAGTGCCTTATGTAGTAGTTAAGTACTGAGTACACCCAGCCATCACCTGAGTGTTGTCCTCCTTTACATTCTGTAACGTATACCCAGCCATCACCTGAGTGTTGTCCTACTTTGCATTCTGTAACTATAAAATCACTTCATGCTCTGCTACTTCACAGTAAAATCCCTCCACATTCCTCATTCAATGTTATGTATTGTGAGAATAACTCTTGATTGATGTTGAATTAATCCCTGTCACAGATGTATCTCTAAACAATCACATGTTCAACAAAATACATACATTTTCCATGTCTGAATCCTTTAAAATCCCATAAATAGATACACTTTCTATGTTTAAATCCTTTAAAATCCCATAAATAGATACATTTTCCATGTCTAAATCCTTTAAAATCCCATAAATATCATATAGAAACAAAGGAGCTCTTTGAAAACAGTTTGGTTTCAAAACACATAATCACAGTCTTCTCTGCATATTACCAGTTCTCTAAAGATTGATAGTGGACTTAGCATAGGCATGCCATGCTGTCTGTCTGGCAATCACATAGGCTAGTGAAATACATTGTATAATATGCCTACTCTGTGTTTCAAGTAAAAAAAGAAGTTCGATAAAAGGGGATGTACATGTACATACAGGGAATTTCTTGACTCTCAAACAACTGATGTAAGAAACCATTTCAAATGTTTATTCTCCGACGATTTCTCACTTGATATTTCCTAATTCTGTCTGAAGAGGAAAGCTTTAGCGTTGATGTTTGGCTGTTGTCATCTCTTAATCAATGTATGAACTCTTGTTCCTTGATCTCGATCCTATGAAAGAAAAATGATGCACAAGGTATTAAATGAGGTTGGATTTATTTTAGGAATGACTCTAATTCTTGGCCAAATTATTCGAGTATAACTTGGTTTGGGTCAGTTTACTGACCCAAACCAGGTTATACTTGAATAATTTGGCCAAGAATTAGAGTCATTCCTTATAATTTAATTTTAAAATCATTAAATAACTATGGGTGTAAATTTCGTTGCTTTTTATTAGTTCAAATTTTCCGCTCAATAATACAACCGTAGTAACGGAAGTGATGGGAAGCAAGGGGAGGTAAAAACTTATACATAGGCCTAGCCTAGCAGCATTGTTGTTTGTTCATATGTGGTAAAATCGAATTATTGTTTGAAGTAAAAGGTACATTTATTAAATCTGGAATTTTCCATGAATCCTGAGGACTGGAAATGAGAGGATTGTATGGATACAGATGATTCAGCTGGTTTTCGGGGGGGGGGGGGGGGGGGGGGGGTCCCATACCAGGTAACGGGACGTTTCTCCCCAATGATGTTTCGCGCCGAGACCATTCGCCCCTAAAGACCTTTCCTGCCGAGACTTTTCGCGCCCGATTTAATCTTCATTGTCTATAACGATATAAATACGATATGTTTTAAGATAAATATTTACATATAAGGTTAATATTGACTTTATTAAAAAAAGTTCTAAAGTTACTAAAAAAAACTTTCATGACTGTTTAAATTGTTGAAAATAGGCTTATACCATAATTAAAGGTATAATTATCCATGTGCAGATATAATTATGTTTATTCAGCAATCATAATTGTCTGATTCAGTTTTGTAATTAAGGTGTTATAATTATAATTTGGTTTTCAGTGTCCGCAGGGACTTACAGGTCATTATAGGTCCCTGCGGTGTCAGGTGTTAAGTATAACCCATATAAATTGGTATTATTGATTGAACCCATAGGCACTCCCCAGCTTAATTGTTAAAAAATAAATATCTACTATACTATAAAAGTTATGTTTATAGTATAGTAGATATATATTTTTTAACAATTAAGCTGGGGAGTGCCTATGATTGAACCAATGGATTGGATTAATATAACACAGTATAAAAGTTAAGAAGTTGATAATTGCTGTTAACAAGTGATAATTGCCACATAATTAATTGATTGATCTTCGGCGCGAACCGTCTTGGGGCGAAACGTCTCAGTGCGAATGGTCTTTCGGGGCGAACCGTCTTGCACTCCCCATACCAGACCAGGTTATACAGAAATAATTTGTGTTCCTTTTTGGATATTAACCAATCAGAGGCTAGAATACAAACAAAATTAAATTATTATATATTAGCTTAGTGAAACAATTTTCATCAGTTTACGGGGCTTGATAATGTCATTGCACAAAGAATCATGCAACATTAAAACTAAATTAATTGTTGTTCAGTTTGCACAGTAAAACACACTTATATTGAAGTGCCCGGAATAGACGATTTTGCTTTATTATAAACATAATTTGTTATATCCATTAAGTTCACGATATATTTTAAAGCCACAGGGAATGAAAATCACTTTGCTGTAAGCATCAATTCGTTATAAGCATGTGCACTATAAATGTGTTTTATTATATATTGTGATGTTGAAATATTTTAGGCTTTCTTGTAGTTGATATGTTAGATGACTAGATGAACCAGCCATTGCATATTAGTGTGTAGAAAAGGGAGTTAACTTAAGTTTCTTCTGGGACAATTTTTGTATAGATATGGGAGTTATCTAACTTACAACACTAAACATTCAGGGACTGGAATGGACGAGGGAGAGATGAACATGATACCTGACTATCAGTATTGTTTGTTTTGTATGTGTTTGTGTATGAGGTTCAAAAATCACATCATGTTGTATAATAATTTAGCTGATAAGCTTAGCAAAATGACCTCTTTTTAGGTCTCTTGTTTTTTTTATCTATTGACAGTCATTGAAATAGGTTTCAAAAAGATTACAGTCAATAGATTACATAATTTTTGGAGGGTATTTAAAGGGTGAGGATTTCCACACACATTAAGTTCTGGTATTGACTTAAAAATCTGCTATTTAATATTTTAGACAGGACGCTATTATAGAATATGAACTAAGGCTCTGGAAATTTTTGAGAAATCAATACTGATTTCTGTGCATTTTTATTGAGATCCATTGGTATCCCAATCAATATCTATTATCTAACGCTGCAAGTCCCTGGCTGGGCTATTACCGGTACAAGTGCAGCGATTACAAGTGCAGCATATGCTGTGTTTTTTTTTTTGCTGTGGCAAGTGGGTCACAACTGCTTCTTTTTGACCAGGCAAGGTTATGCTTGCTTGCTGCAGATGCTTGAACGATTACCTCATTTGTGAAGATCTGAGATAACCATCATTAAATCGAAGCTAAAAAAAATGGGAGCTTTATTGTTTTCCAGTGAGAGGCCCCAGCTTTTGAACTTTGGAACACTGCATTCATGTCCTTGTAGTGTGCAAGTTACTGCATGAGGAAATAAATATAATTAGATATGCATGTTAAGGAAACACCCTATTACCACTAGAATCTTCCGAATGCATTAGATGTCTGACATACGTGCAATTGGTCTAGGCAATTATATGAACAAAATTGTTTAGAATTTCACAGCATGCCGAATTTTGAAATTGAGATGTTTTTGAAAATGCTTTACAGAAAAATTAAACTGAGTAGGAAAATGGGCCAGGTATGAGAACTCCTAGGTTTTATTTAGATTAACAATTATCTGAAATATAAGGGTGGAAAAGCAGGCTCAAAACCTCCATAAAAATTTTGCCTGAATCCATTGTATAAAATCTTGATTTTGATCACATTTTTTGGGCACCGTGTAATTCATGGACTGGAGGCATGGAGTGGAGTTTGGAGTCAAATTTTGGAGTCTAACATTTTTAGTTTAATTTTTGCTATCAAGCAAAAAAGTCCAAAATAATTTTTTATAATTTTGTTTGTTAATAGAAGTAGAGCTCAATGGAAATTAGTTTATGTCACCTAAAGCATAAGCATTTAATTATGGAACACCCTTCCATTTTCTGTTTGTCCCTATGTAACACCTTATATCTTCAACTGTGAGAGGAATTGATTTTCATTGTTGTATTTAGTCAAAATATTTAAAAACACAAGGATCACCTCATGACATAACCTTTGATCAAATTTTCAACAATATTTCTTACTTTCATTTATGGTGTCAAAAAAGGTTTTGATATTTAGCATATGTATTTCTTGTCGTAATTTTTCTTTTTACTTATTTCGTAGCATTAAACTTTATGATCTAACTACAAACAGTTTAACCTCTAACTTTCATACAACACAATAGGGCTTTGGTATTTAGCATGGAATCGCAACTTCTCGGGCCTTTCTGGCAAGCTCTGAAAAAAATCTTGAATGTATTAAGAACTCAGGATGTTAGATTTTTATCCAAAATTGAACTGGAAGGAAGTGAAAACAGAACTGGTGAAAATGGCCATTAAAAATATCCAGAAGAACACATTTGTAATTTGTAAAATGACACATAATAATTTGTAAAACAGCACTCAGAAATTTGCATAGCCACTTGAGAAATATTTACCAATAAGATGTTTGTCGATTTTTATTATTTATCATAAGAATAAACTTGGCTATTAAGTATAATTATTATAACCTTTTTTTGTATTTATAATCTTATCATACCTCTGTGATTTTTTTCTTTTTTAATAAAGATATTACAAATATTTTTCTAAAAGCCGCTACCATGGATTAGTTCTGTGCTATTTCTCCATGAAGAAATAGCCATTGAACTATTCACCGACAATTAATTACCATATACATGTACCTAAGTCACAGGACGGATACATGTATTATATTTATAAGTTATTTTTAGGGGAAAAAATTGGCTAATCTTCCACTCAACTCTAGTCAATTTCTTCAATGAACTATTTTCCCTCAAAAATGGAGTTTCTAAAATTATTGCACTTTAATGATAACGTGCTGAG